TTGTTGGTTTTGTGGAGCAGGGTTATTCCGCTATTCCAGCGGTCGAGGACACGCTGGCTAACCACCTCGCCCCGTCGTCTGCACCGTCTTGGAAGGCGCGTCCCCTTCTTCCTTCCAAGGCTTGTAGGACTACTTCCTCCCTTATTGGGAAGTCTTACATGGCGGCTGGTCAAGCAGGCATGGCCCTGCATACCATGGCCATCCTTCAAGCCTACCAAGCGGACGTCTTGAAGGACATGGATGAAGGAGAGGGACTGACGCCCGAAGCTGTCAAAGAGCTTCGCAAAGCCACAGATCTGGCCCTAAGAGCCACCAAGCACACTGCTCGGGCTGTAGGTCGCTCTATGGCGGGCTCGGTTGCTGCAGAGCGCCACCTCTGGTTGAATCTCACGGAGATCCGAGACAAGGATAAGAGTTTCCTCCTGGATGCCCCTATCTCCCACTCAGGTCTTTTCGGGGAGGCGGTCAACACGGTGGTTGACAAGTTCCGCGCCGCTAAGTCTCAGTCGGCCGCGTTCAGGCAGTTTATGCCCAGGAGGGTCAGAGGGCCCAGTGACTCCAACCCTCCCCCTTCTCAAACCCGAGAACGCTCTGCTCATAGGGCTGAGTTCCCTACTAGCAGGAGTGACCCGGCTCGCCACCCACCAACTACTGTCTGGGGAGCCCGAGGTCGTCCATTTCCTCGCCAGCGCCCTCACAAGCGCCTTCAGCTGAAGCGGTCCAACAAATCGGCCGCTCCAGCCTCCTCGAGCCGTTCCTGACCCGCAGGGCAGGAAGAGGAGAGCCTCATCAGATCTACGAGGTTGGGACAGACCGCGCAAGCGTTTCTGCCCTCCTCCAGCCGGCTCTCCTCATCCAACCCTGTCACCTTCGCCACCCAGCGTGTTTCGAAGTGCAGGTCCTGTTTCACTCTCTTCACCCAGTCCGGCGCAGGAGGAAGGAGACGCATCTTGCTTTCTCCCCTCGCTCCCGGTGCACGTTACACCCGCCAATCGCTTCCTCAGAGGCACAGTTCTTTTTCCTCTGGAGCAGGCGGACCCAGTTACTTCTATCCAGGTGGTGGTACCCCCCAATACGTGTCAGGACGCCAAGCGCTCTCCTCCACGGTCAACCGCGCCTCCCCATGGAAACCAGCGCGACACCCTACCTCAGGTATGTCCCTTGCACTGCAACACTCCTCTGCCTCTATCACATTTCGTTCAAGAATGGGAGCGTTTACCAGGGGTATCGCCTTGGATCCTTCGCACAGTTCGGCTCGGCTACACGCTTCAGTTTTGTCGCAACCCCCCCTGCTTCAACGGGGTCTTTCCTACTGTAGTCGACAGCGCCGCTCAGGCTTCTGTACTACAGCAGGAGATTTCATCCCTTCTGCTGAAGGGGGCGATAGAAGAGATTCCTTCGGGGGAAGTCGAACAGGGCTTCTACAGCCGTTACTTCCTGGTCCCGAAGAAGGGGGGCGGCCTGCGGCCGATACTAGATCTTCGCCGGTTGAATTTCTCTCTTTACAAAGAAAAATTCAAAATGTTGACGCTGAAGGCCATCATATCTCATATCCGGCGGGGGGACTGGTTCGTGACGGTAGACCTCAAGGATGCTTATTTCCACATCCAGGTCGTACGGCGACACAGGAAGTTCCTCAGGTTCGCCTTTGGAGGGAAAGCGTACCAGTACAGGGTCCTCCCCTTTGGCCTCGCTCTAGCGCCAAGGACGTTCACAAAGTGTATGGATGCTGCTCTGGCCCCGCTGCGGCTCCAGGGCATCCATATACTCAACTACCTGGACGATTGGCTCCTTTTAGCCCACTCCAGAGAGTTGGTGACTCACCACAGGGACATTGTCCTCCGTCATATTCAGTCTCTCGGTTTGAGGCTGAATACGGAGAAGAGCGTTCTTACTCCAGCTCAGAACACGGTTTTCTTGGGGGTATGCATGGACTCCGTTCTTATGCAGGCCCGTTTGGCTCCTGCACGGATTTCCAGTCTGGTGACATGTCTGTCCCGTTTCGCACTAGGCCAGCATGTTTCCGTGAGCACCTGCCGCAGACTTCTGGGCCTTATGGCCGCGGCCTCCCCTGTGCTACCTCTGGGGCTGCTCCACATGAGACCTTTTCTGTGGTGGATGAAGCTCTCAGGGGCTCGGCCCACGGGGCCAGCCTTTCGCCTATTGAAGGTGTCGCGCAGTTGCTTTCGCGCCCTGTCAATCTGGCGGGACCCCCTCTTCCTTCAGAAAGGAGTCGGTATGGGTGCGGTATTCCGTCGCCAGATGGTTACGACGGATGCCTCTCTGACCGGCTGGGGAGCGGTTTTCGAGGGCAGGCCAGCGTGTGGGGTTTGGACTGGCGAGACCCTCTCGTGGCACATAAACAGCTTGGAGCTGAGGGCTGTCTTCCTGGCTCTTTGCCACTTTCTCCCTTTCCTCGAAGGACACCATGTCATTGTCAGAACGGACAATATGGCAGTAGTGTCCCATGTAAACAGACAGGGGGGTTCACGATCGCGCACCCTAGACAGGCATGCGCGTCACCTTCTCCTGTGGTCCCAGGACAAGTTCCTCTCTCTGAGAGCAGTTCATGTCCCAGGGATTCTGAACCTCGCAGCAGATTTTCTGTCGAGGCAGAAGCTCAGGTCTGGGGAATGGATGTTGAACCGCCAGTCGGTGGCCCTGATCTGGGAGGTGTTCGGAAAAGCGGAAGTGGACCTCTTTGCATCTCAGGAGTCGTCCCAATGCCCGCTTTGGTTCTCTCTGAGCCCTCCAGCTCCATTGGGGATAGATGCGTTCGCCCACCCTTGGCCGATGCAGAAACTCTATGCCTTCCCGCCCATCAAGCTGATCCAGGCGGTTCTGTCCAGAGTGAGGGAGAGCGGAGTCCGCCTCCTTCTGGTAGCCCCATTCTGGCCGTCCCAGCCATGGTTTTCGGAGCTGATCCCTCTGTTGGAATCCTCCCCCTGGGAGATACCGGTCAGGGAGGACCTGCTTTCCCAGCTTCAGGGCAGGATATGGCATCCTCGCCCCGACATTTGGAAGCTGTACGTTTGGCCTATCAGAGGCCGTTAGCTTTAAACTTTGATCTCCCAACCGACGTTCAGGAGACTATTGCGAATGCTAGAGCCCCTTCGACGAGGAGGCTATATTCCTCCAAGTGGAGGGTGTTCGAGGCGTGGTGCTTAGCACATGATAGGAACCCAGTTAGCTGCCCAGTAGGCTCAGTGCTGGAATTCCTGCAGGAAAAGTTTGCTTCCGGAGCGGCCGCTACCACTCTCAGAGTGTATGTCGCAGCTATTGCTGCTCATAGAGAATCGGATGAGATTCCCTTGGGGAAACTGAGGTTAGTTTCGGCCTTCATGCGTGGGGTTAGGCGCCTGAAACCGGCTCGCCCCCCTAGTGTTCCCTCGTGGGACCTGTCAGTCGTCCTGGAGGGTTTGACAGAGGCTCCCTTCGAGCCCTTGGAGTCAGCTCCTGAGCGGATTCTGACTCTTAAGGTTGCTCTTTTGTTAGCTTTATCTTCACTGAAGCGGATAGGGGATTTGCAGGCTCTCTCTATTAGTGAGTCATGCTTGGACTTCGCTCCTGGCCTGGTTAGGGTTACCTTGAGGCCGAGGTCGGGGTATGTACCCAAGGTTCTTTCCACGGCGTTCCGCTCTCAGGTTGTTAACCTTAATGCTTTCCACCCTCCTCCTTTTGCCTCTGAGGAAGAAAGGAAACTTAACTTGCTCTGCCCGGTCCGTTCTTTGAAGTTGTATGTAGATCGCTCAAGCGGTTGGAGGAAATCAAACCAGCTCTTGGTATGTTTTGGTGCTGGCCGCCGCGGGCTTGCAGCATCAAAGCAGAGGATTTCCCACTGGGTAACGGACGCTATTTCGCTGGCTTATGAGGTGCGTGGTTTGCCTTCACCTCTTAGCATCAGAGCGCATTCCACCAGAAGTGTGGCTTCCTCTCAAGCTCTCTTTAGAGGGGCCCTCTTGGAAGACATTTGTGTGGCGGCAGGTTGGTCCTCTCCGCACACCTTTGTGAGGTTCTATAATTTGGATCTTGACATGACTCCAGGTTCCCAGGTTCTATCTGCTTGAACCTATCATGGTTGTTATTATTTGGTCTGGTACCGGTTATGGCAGCGCTTAGCTTGGCGAGTTTGGTATTTCGTTCCCACTGCGCTTTCCGCAGCGTTGAGTGAACCTATGAAAGAGAACGTCTCTGGTTACTTACGTAACCTATGTTCTCTGAATAGGGAACGAGACGCTGCGTTCGCTGCCAAGCTCCTCGCGCTGCCGACAGTTTTTCTTTTCGGCAGAGAAATCTGAGGAGAAGATGGCGCGCGCGCGTACATCATGCTACGACGTAAGAGCGTCGGGGCGGAGCCAGCTTTGCGCGAGCGCCATCAGCCAATGGATTGGCGTGATTCTATAGGGCTTCAGACAATCGGCACATCCAGAGGATATCCCACTGCGCTTTCCGCAGCGTCTCGTTCCCTATTCAGAGAACATAGGTTACGTAAGTAACCAGAGACGTTTTACTTTCCTTTACTTTGGTAATACTGATGTCCTATAGAGAGTTTAATTAATATTGGGTTTTTTTTTTCTTTTGTTCTTATTGCAAAAGAACAGTGACACAGCATCATCAGACTGGTGACTTGATGTCCCATTATTCAGTCCTGTATTTTACACTCCTTTCACATGTCCTGATTTGAGGCTTGACAAATGACAAATTTCAGAGAAACCCTATACAAGATGATACTCTTAAATCATTCCTGTCATCCATGATTTGTCATATCGAATAATTAGCTAATCTTGCTGTGAAGCAACAACTGAGATATCGGTAAGTGTTTATCCTAAAAAAAGAAAATGCATTTTTGTGCATGTCATGTTGCAGAATGATTAACCATGGCGTAAGTTATTCCATTCGTTTTATTCATCGGAAGCATGAAGAAAGACAATACTTCCCTTTTTCTGAGGACATAAAAAGAAACAGTGGCCGTAGAGCAGTAGAACATTTGTGGAATTTCACAGAAATCATGCACCTGTACTCAGCATCTCAACAAATGATCGTTTTGATTTGTTTGGTTGCGTTCCTGTGTGCGTTTACATCAGGAGGTGAGTATCCTTCTCTTATTGTGCTACATTCTCCACGCAAATTGACATTTTCTCTCAATATTTAAGTATAATTGAAGAAAAAAAAAGGTTATATTTCTTATCAGATTGGAAAAATGTGTATTATGTTTTTAGGCATAAATCTCACTAAATTCTTTTAGATTTATGCTTAAAACAAGAAAAAAAGAATTTCCAGTGGGTTAAGAAAAATCTAAGATATGTTCTCTAAGTCTTCATATCTTGTGTAGTTTTGCTTCACATAAAACATTATCTTGTTTGAATGATTCTTACATATTTTAATGGGGAAAAAAACTTTTTTCAAGTGTCAAGACTTTGAACAGTTATTTAACAATAAAGAATCAAGAGCTTTTGAAATCAAAAAACCTATTATTTATGGATGTTTTTGTCTGTTTTGCAGTGATCTCTCATGACCCTAAAAAGCCAATATGCTGCAAAGAGGATATGCTCACAGTAGAAAGACCAATGAGCAAAATCTCAAAATGTTACATCTTTCCAGCAAAAGGCAAATGTGCTGCGGCCGTAGTGTAAGTCACTCCAGCAACATTCAAAGGAAACTCTTTTGTCAGAGCATTTTATCGTGCCAACATCTGAAGTCTAAATGCATTTCTCCATTTCATCTTTACAGGTTGACTGATGAAAGTAAAAGGTTGTATTGCATCGATCCTAAAGCTGATTGGCTCAGTATAAGGAGGAAGATTCTAAAAAAGGTTAGAATTTACAGATTACTTTTTTTTTTTTTTTTTACCTGTGGAGTGCGTAAAGAGTAATACAGAACAGCTGAACTGATTATAGGACAACCTCTTCTCGCAAGGTTTATACCAACACAATATACTGTATACTGGAATATGTATCAAGTAAAGGGCCACTTCCTAACCTGTTTTTCTTCTGTTCTAATTCAACAGAGAGGTGTAATATGTGAAGATTGGACTCAATCTTAAACGACACACATGGGGATGTGAACTTGGTCTTCACCAGCCACACCAGCAAGACATTTTCATGCGTGTCAGTCAGTCAAGCTACACTTTAATACACACGGACTCTTCTACACTGGGAAAAACACATTTAACATATATTTCATACAATACAAAGGAAACGATCTGTAGTTCGCTTTCACACTTAGCTGCTGTGCAGTCTAAGTCCGGTCATTCCCTTATTTTTTTTATTTATTTTTGAATATCAATGTCTTTGTTTTATTTATAATGCTTAATTTATTTTTTAAAAATCTTTTAGAATTTAATATATTACACAATTGCAAGAAGTACTGTTTTTCGTTTGTTCAGTATGTTTTATTTATTTTCTAACAAAGTAACATATTTATTTTCCTAATGACTATATTATATTATTTCTCTTTTTTTCTCTAAATTGTTACAAATATATCAGTTAAATGACTTGAAGTGCTTACAAAAGTGTATTGGATGCAGTATGAATGTAAACTTTAATAAAAAATATTGTGGAATCATATTTTTCTAAATCCATTTTAATGCAATATAACTCATGTCATTTTATTTCTGAAATTCTAGTGATCTACCTTTACCATCTTACAAATTGATTTGAAACCATCAGGCCATCTAGAGAGGGGCTTTGTGGGTAATATGGGTATAGCGTGCGTTTCTGAAGTAGGATGCAGAGATTTAGCCCAGAGGTCACCGTAATGGAGATGAACGAACACACACACACACACACACACACACACACACACACACACACACACACACACACACACACACACACTAACACCCTATGACTGTCAGATGAAACAGCAGAGTCATACGTTCCATTTCTCTAATGATGGGAACTGTGCATCATATTCCACCAGACTAATGACAGTCAAACGTGTCTGCTCATTTATTTAGTCAGTACACAGCATCTGAGAACAAATACATTCTCAGATTATGAAGCACATTTATTTATGACCTCAGAACACGATCATGAAAGCATCACAGCAAACTAGATTAAATAATTACAGAATTTTCATTGTGGGTGAACTATCACTAACCACTTTTTGTTCAGTGTATCAGTTAATTGTATTATACATTTTAATATATTCATTTAGTTCTTATATATTTATTTTTGAAAATGGCCTTTCAGTAGTGGATGTGTTAGACTTTGTTTTTAAAGAATGACAGTGTTTTGCATTTCAGAAGTATTTGACAGTTATGGAGAATCTGTCTAAGAATATTGTGAAACGGAAAACTTGACCCTTGCCATCCCACTGACTAGCAAAACTCCCCAACAAACCTCTTAGTGGAAGTAACAGTACGTCAGCTTTCTTCCTATTTTGCTTCATTTAAATGGACAAATGGTCAATGTTACAAGATAAAATATATTTGTATCATTAAATAAAAAATACACTGACTTGTCCTATTTGAATATTAAAAATAACTAGCTTTTTCAACCTACATTGAATTTATCTTAATTAAATGACTGACAGCCAGGTTTGAAATTAAATATAATCTGATAAGTTCAACAAATGGAGATCCCCCATCTACATTTACATATATTAATTTAGCAGGTGACATTTACACCTACCACGACAATCTAATATACAAGGAAAGCAAGATATAGTGATGAAACAGAACAATGATGAAATCATCTACAAAAACAAACGGACAGGATGTGTAGCCCATGCAGTTTAAGTTCCGCTTTATTGACTATTTAAGGTGAACTAGTAAGAGTCTTGAATATATTCTCTCAGACACAAGCAGTGAGAGTTGAAGATCGACTGTGACAATGGAGACACAAAGGATCCTCATGAGGAGTTTGGCTGTTGTGTTTTTTGCATCTGTGATCTGGACTATAACAGGTAAAGTGCTTGAAACTGTTTGTATATTATTATATCTGATGCAGAATATTGAGGTTTACCTTGTTCTTCTGTCTCAGCAGATGCTCAAAATAAGGGGATACAATGCTGTAAAGTCGTCTCCAGCCTAACTCGAGCAGAGTTTACTGATCCTATCATCAGTTTCAGGATGCTAAAACATAGTTCTCCTCCATGTGTGAAGGCCGTCGTGTAAGAATCACAGTACTTTTCTAAAGAAAACATGTCATGATTAGAGATCAACAGCATCTGATGCTAGATTTCTGTTTTAACTTTTTCACTCTCTTTAACAGCGCTGAGACTGAACGAGGAGAGTTCTGCCTTGACTGGAGACTACGATGGGTGCAGAAGGAAGCTAAGCAGTTTTTGTAAGTTAAAACCAACAAGTGTGGTGAAACATACCTGACTTTGTAACAACATAATCTTATAAAGTGTTGCAAATTTAGTTAGTAGTATTCTTGTATTAACATTGTTTTTGTTGTTTTGTTTTACAGCAGACCTCAAAGAAACAAAGCCTGACTTCCACGCCACCACCAGCATCATCTATCAGTAAACTCTCTCCTGAGGGAGGATCTTCCCAATCAACTGACAGATCAGGAATCATGAACATCTAAAAGCAAACTCATAATGAGAACACATCTTCAAGTAGTTACTTGTTTTTAAAACATTTATGCTAAAATTTAAGAGATTATGCTGTTGTATTTTGAAAATATTTAAAGTGACGGTTCGTAAATTAGGTGTATTTCCATTTAATATTTAAAATGTATGTTGTCGAATATATGATGTAGTTTGAGAGTGACAGTTCTTCATTTATTAATTTTATTCAGAAACTAAATTATAGTAAACTAAAAGTGTTTTACAACAAATGTGTTTAAATAAATTATTAGCTTATACATTTTATTTCACATTGAAATATACAGTATTTCACTCAATGTACTGGTTATGGACTGGTGTCAAGAAGTGTGACGCAAGTCTGAGTGAAATTAAGACTGATATGTATGAGAACCAACCTGGAAATTTTTTTGTTGATTATGCAAATGAACGAGTGCAATCTGAAACTACAAATAAACTATGATCAGCAACTGGTTTTGCTTGTGGTTGATGTTTCTGAATGTGTGCAAGAGGTCTCTGTCAGGAACGATGACACCTTTCTCTTTAGCATCTTTTTTCTTACATTAGCAGTTGGTTGATGGCTATGTATGTCCTTCCTTATGCTACTTATGTAAATTTAATCCATAATCAAATGCTAATTTGTTTGAATAAGTTGGCACTCTTATTATTGGTATCTTATGAACTTGAGTGTTGACAATGAAAAAGTCCTATTCGATTTTTCTCCACACACTCATATACTTTTAATTATTTTTCATATACTTTAAGTAATTCATGTTAAACGTCACAGCTTAATTAAGGAAGGAAGGAAGGAATGAGGTAAATAAGTGAGTGAATAAACAAACACTAAGCAGTAAAGTTTTAAAAAGTGATTTTTTTACTATTATTATTATTTTCATGGGTTTAAATACAATATTTTTATTATTAGAGACAATAAAAAAAATGTGTTAATCAAAACCACTCGTTTCCTGGTAAGCATTTAGAACGTCTCCTGCACGTTTCATAAATATTAATATTCAAACTAACAGATTTTTTTATTTTATTTCTGTTATATGTCACATTCAAGCTGTCTTAGATGTCAAGCTGTCTTCAACCTGACATAAATATAAAAGTACTTCTTGATAAACCATCAATAAATAAATGTCAACACATCTATTGAGATAAAGGACATCAACAAGTTGTATGTTTTCTCCAGCAGAAAAATAACCCCTAAACTAAACTCATTAAAGGGCTTACATGTATTTGTGGTGTGTAATAGCATTTTTTTTTCTAAGGGGGATATTGGTTTCTCATAAATTATGCTGACGGGTAAAACTGACTATATTGTGGGTAAGAGGTGTGAATGCTTGTGAGAGAAGATGATCACTCGATGCAATGCTTTCAGAAGAGTGGTGGTAAGTTTGTGACGCATTATTCCATCTGACTGCTATTGCACATCTCTTAAAAGACCTCCTCATAATAACACACCTACATTATCAACACCAACTAACTGACCAACACCTGTGATCTGGACACCGAGAGCTATGGCCTGGACTTCTAGATTCATCACCGGCACTGTTCTGGTCATCCTCATTGGATGCTTCACTGGTGCACTGGGCAACTGTAAGTAACTAAACATGCAGCACACAGTCACTGATACTGTTTCTGCTGATTATGAGAAACCTTTGGAAGAACCCTTAATTTTTCAGGATATCATAATGCTGTGATCATGAATTCGACTGGTTTGTCACATGGGGTCTGCAGGCTACTCTTATTGGTTAGAGATGCAAAGGAAGTCAATATCCTGTCTGTGAAAATACCATATAAAAGGATTTGAGTCTAGATAGCACCTTCAACACAGAATCTACATCTTCCTCGTCTGGTTTTGTGAATATTTTGCGCAAACATCATGCATCTCTGCTGGAAATTAGCTCTGATGATGATGGTTCTTGTGTGTGTTACTGCGCAGCAAGTCAACTGTAAGTTTTGGGATTTCTTTATCATTGGATTTGTACTTGTATAAGAGCCTTTGGTACTGGTTATTATGGATCTGCTGATTTTAATGAACTTTTATTATATTTATACTCAGATTATGCATTTATGATCCATTTAATTCACACCAACCTGCTTTCATAATCCAAAGGCATAGTCCACCCAAAAAGGTCATCCTCATCCTCATCCTCATCCTCATGTTGTCGACTCTTTCTTCTGTGGAAGACAAAAGAACATATTTTAAAGAGAGTTAGAAGCTAAACAGTTTCCCATTGACTTCCATTGTATGGACAAAAAATACTAAAAATCAAATGTTTCTAAATATTTTTTTGTTCAGCAGAAGAAAAAAATGCACGAATGTTTGGAACATCAGGGAAAGTAAATTATGACAGAATTTTCCTTTTCGGGTGGACTATCTCTTTAATGATGGTGAATCAATTACTATGCATTGTGTTTAGCTATAGCACAGCTTTGTTTTCTTTGATGGAGTCCTTATCAAGACCAAGATCGTCTTGTTTTCACACATACTGTATACAGTACGCACAGTACAGGTGCTTTGGAGATTTCAATCTCTGTTTCTCTTTCAGATCGTCGGCCCACTAGAGTTGGCGTGACTTGCTGTAAGGAAGTGTCGAAGGGAAGAATCCCTCCTGAAGTTAAACTGATTGGATACAGGCATCAGAATGCTCTGAGTCCGTGTGTGGATGCTATAGTGTAAGCTCTCTCTGCACAGTGACATTTCACAGTTTTATATGCCTGATATTGTGTTCATTTCAGTGGTATATCTGTCCTGCAGATTCTACACAGAGAAGGACAAGTACTGCTCTGATCCAACAGCGCGCTGGATTCAATTCAGACTGAAAGGTATATGACCCTATATTAATATGACATCTTAATATGATGATTATGTATTGATAAAAAACACTCATAACGTGATCATCTTTCCTCCAGGTCTGAAGGAGATTGAGGACTGAGCCAATGGAGGCCTAAAGATGCCGCAAATCTATCTATATATCAATCGATCTATCTATCTAAAAAAAAAAGAGAATATATATTATGTAAGTTTATTTAATCAAAAAAGCACCATTAGATACCCTTTTAGCTGATGTTAAAAGATGTTTCACTTAATTGCTTTGTTTTATCTGCTTAAAAATAATAAACTGTGCTTATTCTTTCACACAAACATCCAGCCTTTTCTCTGTAACAGCTTGGACTGTATTTAATTATATTTAAGCTGAATCATTAAATAAATAAGGAAAAATTTTGTCATTATTTACTCATCCTCGTGTCATTACGAATCAGAATTACTTTCTCTCTTCTGTGGGGTAATGACACTTTTTCTTTTGAGTCCTTTTTGAGTTTGAGAGATTCAGTCTCCATTGCCTGTAATTGAATGGGGGGGAAACAGGTCAGCATACTGATAGTTTGCCAATTATAAGAGAATTTTCGTTTTTGGGTGAAATATTTATCTATATAAATACTATATAAATTGTGTTTCAGTAATAGAATGTGCGCCATCTAGTGGAGAACAGCATTTAATGCACAGAGAATCATTCAATTTATAAGCCAAATTGGGTTGACAAAGTACCAGTGTTTACTTGGCCAGCAACTAAAACAAATCCCACATGAAGCAAATAACAACTTTGCGTACGGTAGTCTATACATCCCCAAACAAGAAATTCAAAAACTGGGAAGTTATATTAGGCTATATTAATGTAACTATGGGCTACTGCAGGTAGGCCTATCTGAAGGCTTATGAATGACACAGTTCATCAAAATTAGCCTACCTTTAAAAAAAGTAGCCTACTCTGGCATTTCCATGTGACATGGTTACCCACTTTAATAGGCCTATGGTCCTGAATGTCATTAAAAAACGTAAACACGGTACTTTCCCCTTAACTGTCACCTGCCCGTATACGGGCAACCTAAATTTACTTCACTATATTACTATTAAATCCTAATCTAGTCATGACAAACTATATATCATTGGAAAGGTCTAAGACTCCTTAATAGATATTTTAGCGCTGTTTTTTTCTTACAAATTATTCATGAACAGTAATATATGAATTTATGACAAGAGTGTGCCTCAAAAAATCGACGTCATTACAGGAGTTTCTGACCTTTGTCACAAAAAGTTGACGCACACACTTTTAATAACTGAAACTTTGGTTTTCAATGCTAAAAGTTCATAATAAAACATAATCTAGTATTTGTCAATAAAAAAAGGTAGAATTATATTTTAAAAAATAAAGTAAAAAGTCCTCTAAAAAGTATAATATACATATATTATATATATATTTTTTTTATTATTATTATTATTATATCACATATTTTAGCAGTTACCATAAATTAGGTATCATTTGAAAGCTTACGAACTCAGAATCCATCCTGTGGAAACCGTTTTGAAATTGGATGTTGTGTTACCATAGAAACGGTATTTTTTTATTAGGCCCCTCCCCTTTTGGGCATCATCTTTCATAATTTATTATCCAAAATGTTCTAATCTTGACAAAACACATATTGTCACTTGTCAGAAAGGTCTGAGTCTCAAGGTTCCATATTTAGTGACAGCAGTGATATTTGGATAGAAATGTATTAATTTGTTATGGCAGAATGCATACAATTAAATTCAATGGAATGCAATGGCACCCGGTGGGTATTTTTGGTATTACGCCTAAACAAAATCTCATGGGAACTTCAATGTTTGTGATATCAACTTCAAATTTGGAACACAACTTGGTTAGATATATGGCTTTGAATTTCTGTCATTTTTGGCTGAAACCTATATTAATTTATATATATTTTTAATAAAAGAAAGATATATATTTTATTATATTTTCATAACAATAAACTTAAACTTCAATAACTTTTAAATAATTTAATTCTATTAATTTATTCCACTTCAGCAGTAATCTGCCAAGAGTCTTCTTTTAAAAGAGACCAACCGTAAGTCTTTAGTACAAAGGCTTCATGAATTAAAACCGTTTAAGTTTGGGTAGTGCATTTTCATGTCAACGCTCAAAAAGGGGGGTGACAGCTAAAGGGTTAAGTATTTTCTTGTACTATCAGTGTGTTGGTAGCCTACTCTTTGTGGTGAGAATATGTATTTACCTCGTTCACAAGACGCTGCACGAGCAGGTGTTTTTGAACCTACAGTTTTCTTCTCTGAGAAAAGTCGATTCTACATGTTGTTTCAGATGACTTCATGTAACAGGCCTACAAACTTTGGGCAAAAAGTGCTAGTGCTTTTTCCCATTTTTGAGATGTCACTGTTGGCATATAAAACAAAGATGAAGTCAACAGATTTAACTAATAGACCTAACAATCTCTTTTTTTTTAATTATGATGCTCTAAAATTATGATGCTGTTCTAAAGTCATTTTCACCCCCTGTAATCTGACTCCAAATCCCAGGTGAAAATTGTCATTTTGACCCTCCTTTACAAAACAGTAAATTACTCAGTAAATATACTTCCATCAAATTTAATATTTTGGCATCTTCTTCATTAATGTTTGTCTTTCTTCATTTCTTCAAGTTTCTAAAATTTGGATTTTTTTGACACGAATTGACCCAAATGTGTTTATGTCTGAGAACCTTTTATACATCTTTTTTACACATAGGCCTACTTACTGTAACTGCAGACACTGCAATGACATGCACTATGTGTATAGAACAAATATTTTGAGTGTCCCCTATTATGTCCCTTATTTTCCTATAAAGAACCACGATTGTCCCTTATTTTCCTTTCCAAATGTTGGCAACCCTAGTCTGATTATATGTTTTGTGGTATGCGCTGATTCTTGACCAATCCTGTCACCTCCAGTGGGGCAGACCTCAATGGACGAAGGGATTCTCCTTGGTTCCACACTGCTTTGTGTGAGACACCTGAAAAGCATCTTACAGTAAATGGTCACTTCACGATTGAGCACTTATGAACATAAAGCCGTAAGGAAATGCATAGGAATACATAATGCAGCAAAACAAAAAAACAATAAATGGGTTCATGTCAGCAAGTGTGAATGGTGCATCTGGTCTCAAGTGTTTCTTAAGGTCATGTATGGGGTGGTCCCATTTTAAACATCCAATCTTCACTGCCACTGTGATGAAGTGAAATGGTAGTGGAATTTAAATGTTCTTGTTTGTTTGTGTGTGTGTGTGTGTGTGTATGTGTGTGTGTGTGTGTGTGTGTGTGTGTGTGTGTGTGTGTGTGTGTGTGTGTGTGTGTGTGTGTGTGTGTGTGTGTGTGTGTGTGTGTGTGTGTGTGTGTGTGTGTGTGTGTGTGTGTGTGTGTGTGTGTGTGTGTGTGTGTGTGTGTGTGTGTGTGTGTGTGTGTGTGTGTGTGTGTGTGTGTGTGTACTTGTACTTGAACTTGTACGACTATCTTTGTGAGGACCAGTTTGAGTTTTAGACCATTGGAGTGAGGACAAAGAGAGTAAAGTGAGGACATTTTGGCCGGTCGTCACTTTCTGAGACCCCTTTAAAGGCCTGTTTGATGGTCAAGACTTGGGTTTAGGGATAAGGTTATAATAAGGTTAAGGGTAGGTTTAGGGTAAGGGTTCGGGTTAGGCACTTAGTTGTGATGAGTAAGGTTAGGGTAAGCGGCTAGAGATTGCATTGTGTCAATGAATGTCCTCATAAAGATAGATGTACAAGAGTGTGTGTGTGTGTGTGTGTGTGTGTGTGTGTGTGTGTGTGTGTGTGTGTGTGTGTGTGTGTGTGTGTGTGTGTGTGTGTGTGTGTGTGTGTGTGTGTGTGTGTGTGTGTGTGTGTGTGTGTGTGTGTGTGTGTGTGTGTGTTGTGCTGGCTATAAGTCAGAGTTAAAGAGTTAAATTGTAAATTTTGTGATTGAAGCTAATGTTTTTGTTATTTGTGGTATGTTGAGAAATCAGGGGCCTTCTGATTTTCCAAGCACCCCAATAACAATCAGAAAGTTTAAACATTTAGAATTTTAATAGCAGGTCTGCCTCTGCTTTAGAATTTGCATTATCGATTTGTGACTGCAGCCATTCATATGTTGTGTTTTCCATGAGTTGGCAGAGTGTTGTGAATAGCGTATGCTATGTGTGTCTCTGTTAGACTGTCATAATGGGATCAGCTTTACCATTATGTGTGTGAAGCTATCTGGATCTATTAGTGTAAAAAGATGGACAATAGATCTTTAGTGAAGTAACATTTTTGGTCTCTATGCCATCTTCTTCTTCTTATGATGTGTAGTGTTCAGCCCGGGTAGACTTGATCTATTCCAGGTGATGATGATGTGAGGGTGTAGTGATGGAGGTGTGTGTTCAGTGTTCATGTCTAGGAGGTTGGGTGAAATCTAATCTATAACAATTGTGTTGCAAATTTAGTTCCAGTTCTATACTGGGAGGCCATATGTATGCAGTGGTGTGCTACTGTGAGGTGTGAAAGGCCTCGTGAAGTATCTTTTCACCCATCTTCGAGTCTCAGGTTATGTTCTAACAATTCTGCTGTCCTGACTTTGATCCAGGTGGGGTCCGGCCCGTCCTGGCATCCATCCTCCAAGGAATTGCAGTAGTAAACCTGAGACAGAAACAAATGCAGAGAACCACGGTTAATTCTGCTATTTTCAACAGCTTCAAATTCAGACATGTGGAATTCTTTTACTTGCTCCATTCTCATGTCCATTGCAAATTTAATTCCAGTTGTCACATGAAACCAAGTTTCATTGACCAGGTCTGAATTATTGCTGTTGTTTCAGTGCAGTGTGTGACACCTAAAGCTGCTCTTGCAGTTCAGCCTTCACAGTCTGCTGTGTCGTGAGCATTAGAGACCCGTTCTGCTGGGGAAATTTTCTGGATTAATCAGAGTTTTTATCACTCATAGTGTCATGAGTTCCAATGGGTTGATGTCCATGGCTTTACTTCAAGTTGCTCATTAAAATCAGCCGATCCATAATAATCAGTACCAAAGGCTCTTATCAAAATGCAAATCCAATGATAAAAAAATCCCACAACTTACAATTGACTTGCTGCGCAGTAACACACACAAGAACCATCATCATCACAGCTAATTTCCAGCAGAGATGCATGATGTTTGCGCAAAATATTCACAAAACAGGACGAGGAAGATGCAGATTCTGTGTTGAAGGTGCTATCTAGACTCAAATCCTTTTATATGGTATTTTCACAGACATGATATTG